CGAAACAGTTCTGTCCGCAGATTGAGTATCTATCTATCTATGTATCCCTCTCTCCTTGCCTAGTCGGGATGATGACGATGTACATGCTGGCAAGCTGCACCGCATCACAAACCTTGGCGCTACAGGCTTTGCTGGTCAGCCTTACATTGCCTAGATCCGACCCACTGTCCCAACATTGCACCTGCAACCAAGCAATACCAGCTGTGTACAACTAGTAGCAGCTCCAGTGAGCTATTCATTGATTCCACTGGACTGCAAGGTGTAGGAGTATTCCTCGTGGAACAAGTAGTTCGGGTGTCATTTTATTTTATCATACGCTATGTCTTTTAGGATCGCAAAGAACTTTGTCTATTTCATTTCTTTTTAAAAAAATCAAATGTTATCCTTTGCCTTTGCCTCGGTAGATTACCATGTGATTTCAAGCTGGTCTTGGCCACTAACTATTAATGTCATTCTAAACTCTTTTTTTTAAGGGATTTCTCATCCTGTCACCTGCTGATTCTCTCTGCTCTGTCGTTGTTGTGTTAGTTTCTATCCCATTCACAATACTTAGTGCTACTGCTTTTTGCGACACGGCATGCGACTTGCAACACCTGCGTTAAGGTGTGGTGAGCCCATACTGAGTGGGATCTTTTCCAAGTCCACCCAGAGCTTGGGGATTTCAGGGGTGTCGGCCGTTGGGCGGAACAATAGCCATCTCTCCAAGATTCGTTTTCAACCTCTCTCCTCTCTCCCAGGAGACCCTCGTGGCCAGTTTTTGGCAGTGGGCAAGTACAAGTACTGTAAATATACAAAATTTCGGCGTTGCAAAATTTCGGCACTTCATGATTTTTGACATTTCGGCGGCGATTTATTTTCGGCGTGGGGTAGAGGACATGGTATTGCGACAGATGCTGTGAAAAATTTCATCGGCGTTTTAATTTAGGCGTTTTGGGTCGGTGCCGAATATAGCCGAAATTAAATAGCTGCCGAAAATTTGTATATTTACAGTAGTAGTAGGTTTTTCATTTTGACCCGACGAGACCATACGACGCCTGCAGATCACAGCACGAACAGTTCACCAGCCACACTCCACGAAAGCAAGTAGTAGTACTCCTGACAAGTCTTGTTTCGTTCCATAGAGATAATAACGGGGAACTCATCAGAGGAGAAGCAGTTGTTGAATGAAGGGGTTTAGCTGAATAATGCTATTTTATAGAAACGATATTGGCGCACTGAGGTGTAAACACTCAACTAACTCACATTCTCATTGTGAATGATTTAGCACTTGTGATAGTTGTGTCTGGTAGGGTTCAGAACACCTCCATTCTGCACTATTCCTTTTGTGTTGATATGTCACATATGTGAGTTAGTTGAGTGTTTACACCTCAGTGCGCCAATATCGTTTCTATAAAATAGCATTATTCAGCTAAACCCCTTCATTCAACAACTGCTTCTCCTCTGATGAGTTCCCCGTTATTATCTCTATGGAACGAAACAAGACTTGTCAGGAGTACTACTACTTGCTTTCGTGGAGTGTGGCTGGTGAACTGTTCGTGCTGTGATCTGCACGGGCGTCGTATGGTCTCGTCGGGTCAAAATGAAAAACCTACTACCACTGTATTTGACGGACCTATTGAAGATGGCACAACGAATTATATTACTGTAGTTAGAACAACTTACAAGTGTGTGTGTGGGGGGGGGGGGGAGAGTCTGGCGGTGCGTGCATGGCGGTGCGTGCATGTGTGGGGGATTTTTGGCAATCAACCAAAGAGATACTCAGATACAGTAACAGTACTCGTACCACACGTGTAAGTAATAGCAAGAGGGGGGTTATGTACTCTCGGTAAGGCCATGTAAAATATATTGATTGTTTATCGTCAGATTTTCCCGAGAAATCGGGGCGGACGGGAGGTTTTTAATTTTATTTTTTATTATGCATTGGCTGTAGGGCAGGTGTTCGCAGCCCCAGAGGATGATGGATTGGGGTGCGCGGATTATGCTCGCACGCACCCGATATTATGCTTTCGGGCATTTCCCGCGGCACTTCGAAAGTATTCTCCCAAAACATCGAAAAAATTCTCCAGAATTCCCCCCAAAAAAAGAACACCAGCGCAGCACGAACCGTGCCTTGCGCATGCTCTTTAGTATGCAAAATGGACGGTCAGGCACGTGATCACTGCATGCAGGATCTACACTACATGTACTAGATGATCTACATGACTGTACACACACACACAGCTACTATGTACTCAGGCTGCGTCCATGGATGGTGCGTTTGTTCTCTGTTCTCTGGGCCTCTGGCAGGTCAAAATTGACAGAATTCCCCGAAAACTCTTCTGAAGGTCAATAGATCTCGCAAAAGATCGATAGAATTCCCCGAAAATTCCCAAAATTTTCTCAACGATAGTATTCCCAAATTATTCCGGGAATAATCCGCGCACCCCTAATGATGGAAAGACTTTAAGTGGAACAACCAACGTTACGTAGAAAAAGCGAAGAAAATCAGGCAGCTTATGATCAGTTTCACTTTTCAAGCCCATGGCAACCAAGTTATGGTTCAGTCTGTGGACTTGACCTTCGAAAATCTACGGCCATGCTGATTAGAGGCTGTAGACCGCAGTACATACAGTACATTTACCAGTACTAAAAAATAAAATAATTCGGCGGGGAGGGTGAAAATTTGGGGCGGGCGCGGACGATAAACATGTTAACAATCAATTTTTTTTAATCAGTCTTTGAAAAAACCTATTACAGTCGACCTACCCTTATAACGATAACCTCTATAACGATATTACCCTTATAACGATATTTTTCTGCCAAACCAAATCACTCAATCGACTTATCGACAATATTTCTTGGTGTGACGCCGCAATATCGTTATAAGGGTAGGTCGACTGTATACATGGTATAGTAGTAGTAGTAGTAGTAGAATTTATTATTTTGATAGGGAAGGCCCTACAGACGTTGCCGTCTTGGTACAGGGAACCCTAAGTGCTCTTTACAGAGCGAAACAAAAACGGATAGATGCTCAACCTGACGACACGAGACAGGCAGAGAATTCCACCTATCAGCGCCAAGGAAAGAAATGGAGAACATGCCATATCTAGTGGTAGCAGCGGGCAAAGAAAGTGAAGAGAATGATTGCCCTCGAGTGCGCCTCTCGGTGCAAGTAGCAGCCGACTGGAGGGTGAACATTGAGGAAAGAAGAGGACTTGTAAGCTGATGAATACAGCGGAAAACAAAAATAAAAAGCCTCAAGTTGAGACGAGATTCGAGGGAGTATAACTTAGCGTGCCGCAAAACAAAGACAGTCGGGGTACGGCGAGGGAGACCAAAAACCTGTTTCATGCTGATATGACTTAAAGTAACAAGGCGAGAGTATAAAGATGGTGTAAGACAGTGAGCATACGAGTTGCTGGCGTATTCAATAGTGGATTGGATGAGGGATAAATAAAATATTCGCTTAGTTGTGTGATCTACTGTACGGCGGCAGCGGCGGAATGCTCCTATCTTCTTATAAACAGATGTACACACATGGTTGACTTGATCCTCAAAGGTGAGGTGTTGGTCAATAATGAGGCCAAGATAACGCGCTGTGGCAGAAGGTCGAATATCGACACCACCGCATGCAATGGTAAGATCCGGCGGAAGAGGCAGAGCCTTCTTCCGAAGCACCATGAACTTCGTTTTCTGGGCATTCAAGATGAGACCAATGCTTCCAAGGTACGTATTTAGTCTGTTCAACTCACTTGTCAACTTGTGCTGAAGTTCTCCAGTAGACTGACAGTGTATATAAAAGGCGATATCGTCTGCATACTGTTGGGACTCTGCGTGGCGAAGTACTCCAGGGACATGTCGCACGTACAAAGAGAATAACAGAGGCCCTAGCACCGACCCTTGCGGAACGCCTCGTGTACAATGTGTCTCGTCTCCTCTGTTATTTCCAATTTTCACCTGTTGTCGTCGACCCTGGAGATAGCTGGAGAACCACTGTAGTGCTACTCCGCTTATGCCAATAGCTTGAAGCTCGTTAAGTAGTAGTTCATGGCGTACCCGATCGAAGGCCTTGCTCATGTCCACGAGTACAACCCCGCAATACTCGCCCTTGTCCACACTCATCATCCAGCGGTTTACTGCGAGAGTTAACGCATCCTCACAGGAGTGCCCTCTGCGGTAGGCGAATTGCTCGTCTGGGAGAATACGAAGCTCAGCGTGATCTTGAAGGAACCTAATCATTTGCCGATGTACTACCTTCTCAAGGATCTTAGAAACAATCGGCAAAAGTGAAACGGGGCGATAATTCGACGCTTCAGATTTGTCCCCTGACTTGTGGACAGGACACACTGTAGCGAATTTGTAGACGTCTGGCACCATTCCAGTACTCAAGGACTCGTTTATGATCTGCGCTATGGGACCTGCAGCGGCAGGCTCACAGAGGCGTAGGAGCAGAGGAGGAATGTCATCCGATCCAGCTGCCTTGGCACAGTTCAAATGCTTCAACAGGTCGCTTATCTCCAGAGCTGAAACGGCACGAAATTCTTTAAAAGATGGGGCGTCTGCGTCAGCTGTTGTCGAGATGTCAGGTATTAGGTTGCTCAAGGGTGGGCAAGGATTAGGATCAGTGACAATGGACGCAAATGTGGCACTCAGATCGCCTAACGTAGCTTTTGGTTGTTCACGGACAAAGTTGCGCCCTGTGAGCGAGTTTAGAAGCGCCCACTGTTGCCTTGGCTTATTCTTCACATCTCGAAACTCCCTGTTGTAATACTCTCGTCTCAGCTTTCTATTTAACAGTGTGCCTTCCCTCCTTGTTGCCCTGTACTGTTGTTTCACAGATTCATTTCCGGGATGTTTCAAAACCTTCGCGTGGAGGTGCTTGCGCCTTTCTAACAACCTTCGGAGTTGATCGCTTACCCAAGGCTGTGGTTTAGGCTTAGCCCTAGCACTGATGGTAATTTGTTTCACAGGCGACTTTTCGTTTAGAACTCTTTTGCATAGAATAGAGAAGCTAGTTGCCATTGTGTTAACGTCTGGTGAGCCATCTGGGGGTACTCTGCGGAAGGCGGAATCAGTGAGTGCATCAAGCATGGAATCGGTGCATTCGTCTGCAGGCAGTTTCCACAATGGCGGCTTCCGTAACTGCCGCACAACTCTCGTAGGTTTAGTCATAGGCAAGACAGTCTTTACTAAGACCAGCTGATGGTCAGTAATGCCGTGCAGGGCAATGGCATGACATGCGGAAGTTTTGAGGTCGTCAGAG